CCCCAGTGAACACCAACACTAGGAACAACATCATAGTCATTCTACCCCAGTGCGTACGACTGTATCACATGTACTCCACTAGGAACAACATCTCAGTTATTCTACCCCAGGGAGCACCCCACCAGGAACAACATCTCAGTTATTCTACCCCGGTGATTATTCCACTAGGAACGACATCTTAGTCATTCTACCCCAGTGTCTACGACCATGTCACTATACCTCACCAGGAACAACATCTGTCATTCTACCCCGGTGATCATTTCACTAGGAACGACACATTGTTATTCTACCCCAGTGGTTACTCCACTAGAAACGATATTTTATCATTCTACCCCAGTGAGTACGAGTTTTGCACATACACATATTTCATAAAACAATCATATGCACTTAAGACCGTTCTCGCATCTTAATCTCATGCATACTCAAATGATTCATCACCACATTTATCAAGCAATGCACACATATTCCCTAACATGTTCTCAAGCATTCTTCACATACAATCGCATACAAACAATATGCATTCACAATATCGCGCCAACGGCAACGAACTCAATCATATTCATCATGCGTTTTTATTCAATTTAAAACAATGCATATATTTGCCAAAAGGCCACATTTCACAATATTGCGCAATCTAGGATTCACGCCATACGGCTACCCACAACATATATCACAGCACACAATCACTCATTTCAGATCAAGATTGAATACAATCGAACCAAACAGTCAACATTGAATGGAAAAACACAAAGAAATGGAAATGTTGTCACATTCGCTGGCTTGCTCGCCTAGCGAATACTCGCTATCTGTTCGCCTAGCGAACAAGCTCGCGAAGGCAAATAAAAGCTACTGACTTCGTTCGCTTCCTACTCGCTGCAGCGAGGCCCTAGCGAATCCTTCGCTACCTCACTCGCTACCAGCGAACCAGATCAAATACATTTTGTCCAAGTCTGGGACCACTCGCTACCTTGCTCGCCTAGCGAGTTGCTAGCGAACACTCGCGACCTGTTTGCCTAGCGAAGGTGCTAGCGAACGTCTGCGATGTTCAAAACCCTCACTACCCAAACCTCTCCAAAACTCCCAAAATCACCCGATTCAATTCCAACGAGTTCCAGTACTCTTAGTCTAACAATTCTCGACTAATCTACACCACTCATTTCGGATTCCAACCGTTAAAACCTTGATTCTACCGATTAAACTCATTATGCCCTAGAATGAAAAATGTAGAAAAACATCCAACAATCCAAACCAATCATACATAATCATATACATAGTCAAGATAATGATATTTCACACCCTTACCTTGATTAAATCGGTTCTTGAGAGTTGATCTTGATGAATCCAAGTTTTCCTCCTTTTTCCTTCTCTTTTCTCTTCTTCCTCTTCCTTCCCTCCTCTTTCCCTTATGTTTTCTATTTCTTTCTATTCTATTTCTCTCAAAATATCTATTAAATCCATTTCTCACAAAATATCTCAACTTAACATTAAATACTTAATGTCTAAAATACCCTCCAATCTATTTTCCCCGAAACTTTCAAAATCGGTAAAATAGCTTAATATGCAAACATAACATATTAACACATAAAATCCACAATTAAAATATTAATCACCCAAATCAATTAATTAATATAAATAATTAATTATAAAAATTAGGCTGTTACACTTCGGCCCAAAACTCTTTCGACATCTTCTTACTCTTAAGCATGTTTCGCACCATATTAAGTATGGCCCGGTTCTTTCTCTCCGCTACTCCATTTTGTTGTGGCGATCTTGGCATTGTTAGTGAGCGGAAGATTCCATGGTCTTCACAATGTTTGTTGAACTCATTTGAAGTAAACTCTCCTCCTCGGTCAGATCTCATGGCCTTAATAGAAAGACCACTTTCTTTCTCCATAAGGGCTTTGAACTTCTTAAAGTTTTCAAACACTTCTGACTTCTCCTTCAAGAAATAAACCCATGTTTTTCTAGAATAATCATCAATAAAGAGGAGAAAGTATTTATTCTTGCCAAAAGAGTTTGGATTGATTGGTCCACAGACATCAGTGTGTATGAGCTCTAGTGGTTTTGTCGCTCTTGATGTTGATTCCTTTGGAAAGCTTTTTCGAAATTGCTTCCCAATTAGACATCCTTCACATAGTTGGTCTGGGTGGTTTATACTAGGTAAGCCTCTCACCATCTCCTTCTTTGACAAACATTCTAGACTATCAAAGTTGAGGTGTCCAAATCGTAGATGTCATAGCCATGAAGAGTCGGTATAGCAAGCCTTGAGACACTTTGCCACATCATTTTGAATGTTCAAGAGGAACATTTTATTCTTTGACATGGGCACCTTAGCAATCAAGTTATGCCCATAATCTCTTAAGAAAAGACTATGTTCTTTCAAGTGGATGTCATATCCTTTCTCCAATAATTGTTCCAAGCTCAAAATATTATTTTTCATGTTAAGAACATAGTAGACATTGGATATGAATTGATGACTCTCATTCTTTAAGCGTATGAGAATTTTACCTTTGCCTTTGACCGGTATCTTTGAGTCATCTCCAAATGAGACATTTCCAGTTGTCGCTTCATTGATCTCTATGAACATGCTTCGATCGTTGTACATGCGGTTGCTTGCGTCGGTGTCAAGGTACCACTTGTTTCTTTTCTCTTCAAATTGGTTTTGGCACGCGAGCAGCAAAGTTTCTTCTTCTCCACCTTTTTCTTCTACAAAGTTAGCTTTCTCCACGACCTTCTTTGAGAATCTACACTCAGATGCATAGTGATCGATATTGTTGCAATTGAAGCACTTGATTTGTAACTAGTTGCACCTTGACCATGAATTTCCATTTCCACGACCTCTTGTTTCTTGTGGATTCCAACTTCTTTCTCCATTGTTGAAGTTGTTGGAGTAGTTATTGTAACTGCCTCTTCTTTCTCCTTCATGTCCTCGTCCACGTCCACGATCTTGACCACGACCTCGTCCTCTTTGACTCTTGTAATTCGCATAGTTTGCTTCCTTTGCATTGAGTTGTAGTAGTTGCTCCATAATCTCCTTTTGTTTAGTTTTTCTTTGTTGTTTTTCTTCGTATGCTTGTAAGGAACCCATAAGTTGCTCAATAGTCATGGTGTTTAAATCCTTGTTTTCTTCAATGTTGGTAACAATGAAGTCAAAACTTGGATTTAAAGTGCGAAGTATTTTCTCCATGACTTTCACCTCATCAACATCTTCACCATTTATTTTAAGTTGATTGACTACGGACAATACTCGAGAAAAATAATCAGAAATTGACTCAGACTCTTCCATAAATAAACGTTCAAACTCACCTCTAAGAGTTTGAAGACGAATCTTTTTCACCTGCTCCACTCCTTTGTTGCAAGTTTGAAGCTTGTCCCTGCTTCTTTGGTCGTTGTTGCATTGAAGATCTTCTCAAATGTATCTTCATCCACCGATTGATAAATGAGGAAGAGAGCTTTCTTGTCTCTCTTTCTTGTCTCCTTTAATGTCTCCTTTACACCTTAGCTTAAGGAGGCTTCATCTTGCTCCTCGAAGCCTTTCTCAACGATATCCCACACATCTTGAGCTCCTAGTAGAGCCTTCATCTTGATACTCCAATTGTCATAGTTGTTCTTTATGAGCATCAACATTTGAAAGGGGAAACCTCCATTCGCCATCTTTTGAGGACCTTAAAGCTCTAATGCGACTTTGTTGGAAATAAAGCCTTTTGTGTTTAGTGAAAGTGTGTGGGAATATTAGAGGCTTGAATAGAAACTTGATAAATAGGAGAATTATTTATGGAAGAAAGAACTCTGTATTTTGCTTGATACAAAAGTGTAGAATTACATCTCTATTTATAGTACTCTAAGAAAAACTCTAGACACATTAATTCTAGAGAGTTCTCAACTCTAAGAATTTCAAGAGCATTCTAGAAAATATTACAACCCTAATAAATATCTAGACACTCCAAACATTACAAGAGTTTTCTAGAAACATTAATTAAAATTACCTAAGTCCAAAATAACTAAGCCCAAAAATCCAAATAATATGTTTAGGCCCAAATCAAGTTTAATCTTTCAACAAGAGACTGATGGGAGGCGTAGAGCGCAAGTGGTGGCGACTGGCGGAGGCACCACGGATGGAGGAGACGGACGAATGAAAAGGTGGGTAGCAGTGTTTCCCCTTTCTTTCCCTTTTTGTAGTGTTTTCACATCTCCCATTTTTGTTTGTTTTTTTAAACCCTAATACTGAAAAGTATAATTTGAATAAAGCCCGGGCATGTGCCTAGTCTGGCTGAAAATATATTTTTTTAAAATTTTTAGAAGATATATTTCCGTAATAAATTTATTCATATAGTTAGAATTTGACTAAAAAATAAATAAAAATATATGTTAGAGTGTTTTCAGAGATGTATATTCAAAAATTAAAAATAATTTTAAAATTTTGCATAATTTTTAAAAAAATTCTCTAAATTTAAAATCAAAGTTTAATCTAAATCGCTTTGAAAAAGCTTGAAGCCCATTAATTTAAGGTTTGAATCTCATTTTGACTATTCTATTTGAGATAATTTATTGATAGGTGAGAGAAAAAAAATGTTATAAGCAAATTTGATCTTTAACATTTAACAATTAATATATTTAATTTATATATGGAATAAATACATTTATCCGTCAAAATAAAATATAAAATTTTGTTTATCATAGTGATCAAGATCTAGTTATATTAATATCACATATTTATCGGAAAAAGAAAAACAGTGAGACAAAATTGCGCATCGAGGTGTTAAAGTAGTCTTTTGAATTTGAAAAAGAAAAAGTGACATTGAGTAGTGGAGGAACAGCGCAATTATCAAAAAATTGTTGCAAAAACTTTGTACGCGTCTTCGTTTTCCTTAGTCGTGTTAAAGTGGTGTCGAAGATACCTAGAAACTTCTCTTCACATATTCTCCTTCTATAAAGATTCCCACTTCTCTCTCTGCATCACAAACTCGCTTTCAATTTCAACAAACGGTTTCATCGTTAACATGAGCTACTACGATCATCAGCAACAGCCTCCAGTGGGTGTTCCTCCCCCACAAGGTACTACCAATAATCACCTCTTGCTTTCTTTTTAAGTTTGGGGTTTTTTAAACTGCTTTTTTACCCAAGAATCTGAATCTTGAGTTTTCTAATTTTAGGGTATCCTCAGAAAGACGCTTATCCTCCACCGGGTTACCCTTCACAAGGTTATCCTCCACAAGGGTACCCTCCTCAACAAGGCTATGGCTATCCACCACCACAACAGTATGCTCAACAGCCTCCTCAAAGACAAGAAGTTGGTTTTCTTGAAGGATGTTTGGCTGCACTGTGCTGCTGTTGTATGCTAGATGCTTGCTTTTAGTTCTGAATGAGAGAACCTCTTTTGGCTCTTTGTTGTAATTCCAGGAGACACAATGTTAGGAATATTTCTTTAGGTTATTACTCCGTTTTTTATTATAAAATAATAAAAGTATTTTAAAATTGTCTTTTATTAATTATAAATTATATAATTTAAAAATATAAAAGAAAAAATAATATTAGTTATTCATTAATATTAAAATATTCTTAAAACAGTTTATAATAAAAAATAGTATTTTTATATTATTTTCTACAAATAGATGTCTTTTTAAAAAATAAATGTCTTTTTAACTTAAGAATTTTGTTTTAAAATAAATATTATTTTACTTTTTCAGTGTAATATTTATTTATGTGTACCAATTTTATTTATAATTAAATGTTGTTTGTAATATTTTCAGTATTAAATCTCATTCTCTATTTATGACAATATATTTTAATCAATAGGATAATTTTATAAAATTGTTTATTTAAAGATAATTTTATAAAATTGTTTTATTTATTTACTCATTTATAATTTTTTTAATCTATGCAACAAATTTATAAAAAAATTATTTTGAGACGGATAAACCATAGATTATAATTTTTTTTTAATCTATGCAACAAATTATAAAAGAAAATTATTGGAGTCACAGTGAATGTGTGTATCTTATTAGAGTCTCAATGAATATGTGTCTTTGAGTCAACGATGTTCCCTAAAACGATGTTGCTTTTTAGAATTTTTCTCTACTCTACGTTTAGTGTCGTATAAATTCTCAACCTTAATCTATAATCAATAATATTTTATATATAAAAGTAAAATATGGTGTTTTAGTGTAGCTTATTTTCTTATAATATTACTCTTACTTTATACAAGAATTTCCATTAAAACTACTATTATCATCTTTCACATAATTTCTCACTATTAATTTTCTATCTAACTTTATATTATTAACTTTTTATATAACTTCTTTTTAAATTAATACTATATAAAAAAATATTATTTAAATTTTTACGCGCATACATTAGAAAAAGCGGACAACGGGCACTCGCGTGCCCGTCTGAACGCTAGTTTAAAATAAATACAATTGCTCAACTGACTTAATTATAATTTAACTGAATGGTACACTCGATTAAAATTGAGCGTTTTTCCTTAAACATAGATTGATGAATTATTTGGTATTCATAAACTATCGATCTTCTTCAAGTTGTCATTAAACTAAAAACAAATACAAGGCAAATACATTTCATAATTTTTACTTCTTTTTATTTTTTGAACTAGTGACTAACATAGTGTTAGCTCATAAATTCGACACCTCTTATGGATTAAGATATTTAAATAAAATATTAAGGTCTTTTAATTTAGAGGTAAAGAGCCTGTCGAAAGGCTTGAAATCTTCGTAAGAGGAAGTTAAGATGTTCTGGGGACTTAGAGAAAATTATGAACTTTGGAGAGATTAGTCTTCGACCAAGATACTGTTTGGAGATCGATTAAGCATTTAAAATTCAAATAATGGAGGGAGTAGTTTTATTTCCTGATGACTAAGAAGAACAAGTGGTACCTGTTGGGTAAAGGACTTCATGCGTTGTGACATGTGTCGGAAGATGATGACTTTAGGTGGTTATTGTTAGTTATTTTTTACTATTATAAATAGGAGTTTCTAGAGATAGAGATAGAATCAGTGTGTTGTAATTTACCATTTGTTTAAGTCAGTCCTAAATTTACTCAAAGTATCCGAGTGTAGAGAAAAGAGTATCAAGGAGAATGTACGTGATGTAAACACGCCATTTTTACTTTTCAATGAAGTTTACTTTAATTGCTTGAACTTTACAAAGTTTTCTTTACTTTTCTTCCAACACCTTCCTCTCCTCTATGCATTTTACTTTATTTTCGTCCTCAATCTTTTTCTAAGACTTCTATCTCTTCCTTTCTAAAACTTTATCTTCTCTTTCTCTTTTAGTCGAATAGGAACTTCTTAAAACCTTTTCTACCGCAACACTGTCGAAGTGTGAAACTTAGACAGATTTTCAAAATAAAGAACCTTTAGCACATGTCCTAGGATCAATCTGATTGATCCTGTGAGTCACCAAAGTTAGATTTGGAATATCAGCGGTTGTTTTCCATTTTTCAAGGGAAACAAAATGGCATGCCCAGTGGGACAGTGCTAAAAGTTTTTTTACTAGTGTAAGCAAAACTTGCTGAATTGCAATTTTTATTGGTCTTTCGTGAAAAAGTTCGTTTTATGTTACTGAGAAGTTGTAAAATTGCTGATGTAAACGAAGAGAGACTAACAAGAGGAAGCGTTAGGAATATGGCGACAAATATAAATCAGCCAAACAACCCTAACTCTTAAGGAGGCGGTTCTGGCGAAGGACCGAGAAACAATGTAGTTACGCCTTTGACACCTTCGACCGGAGAGCAAATAGTGCCTCCGGCAAGAGCGGAACCAGTACCATCAGTATTGGGGCATGGGTCGACATTCGTAAGGACTTATAATCAACCAATGTTGGAGCCTATTGGACCTCAAGCGTTGAATCCCCAAACATCACTGGGAGGAAGTTCAGCGTCTGGACAGTTTGCTCCTCCCGAGTTTTCGCAATTACCGAGAAACCCCCCATACGGGATGCCCACAACTATGATGCAAGGGCTCCAAAATGCTCCTCCAATATTCTCAGATAATGCAATGGCTTCACCATTGCAAGGATCAAGGTCTGGTTTGAACATTGGTCGAAATCCCTAGAGTCTAAGCCTGGGATATTCGATGCAGGGCCCTAATTTAACCAATACTTCGGTGGCATGTTTAAGACATCAAATGGATGAGAGAAATTTGCAAATGGTTCAAACTTTGTCCCAGACCATGGGTGAAATCTTTCAACCATTAATCCAAAACACCAACCAAACCAATCAACTGTTAGCAGCGCAGTTGACACGGTTGGGTGAATTTATGGGAGTACCTCTTGTGGTTAGGAACCAGGCCCCGGTGGAAAACCTGCCACGACGGGATGTAGGGAACCCAACTGAGCCCAATTTGGAGAATCAATGGAGAGTTGAACACCCCAGACTTGAACCAAACAGAGCCGAACCCCTAAGGGACCAGGTACCAATCCCAGTGGAAAGGGACCCAGGAGCAGACAATGTCGTCCAGCAGGTTCGACGTAACAACATACCTGTTGATAACAACTTAGCGGCCATGGTCGAAAGAATCATGGCTCGAAACGGTGTAAACATTGGGTTCACTAGGCCAAACTATACATCTCCAATAGTGGACTACATCCTTCAGGCCGAGTTACCTCCTAGAACGAAAGTACCCAAATTCACTAAGTTTTCAGGAGATACGACGGAATCTACTGTCGAACATGTGGCTCATTATATAATCGAGACAGGAGAGATAGCCAATGATGAGAGCCTTAGAATAAAATATTTTCCAAGTTCCCTCACTAAAAATGCCTTCACTTGGTTTACAACGCTACCCCCTAACTCAGTGTGTAATTGGACCCAGTTGGAACGTTTATTCCATGAACAGTTTTATATGGGTCAAACCAAGATTAGTCTAAAGGAACTTGCTAGTGTGAAACGTAAGTTTTCTGAGCCAATCGAAGAGTACCTCAATATGTTTCGACTGCTCAAGGCTAGATGTTTCACCCAGGTGCCTGAACATGAGTTGGTCTAAATGGCCGCAGGGGGCCTCGACTATTCCATTAGAAAGAAATTAGACACCCAGTACCTAAGGGACATGGCTCAATTAGCCGATAGAGTCCGACAGCGGGAACGCCTCAAAGACGAAAAGGTCAAGTTCAACAAAAGCAAGAAAGTAGCTTTTGTTGAATATAATGAAAACATTTAGGGTGTACGTGAAGACCCCTTATATTTCGACGAAAGTGAGGTAGATCTTGCTGAACTGAAACAAGGTCCCCCCCCCCCCCTATGCTTGCAAAGTACTGGCTCCCCCACTGGGGAAAAGTTTTGTCGAATCTGAGAAGAACGACAGGTTCCTAAAGAAAACATATACTTTCGACATCACGAAATATGATGAAATTTTCGATTTGTTAGTTAAATATGGGCAAATGATAGTGCGACCTGGTGCTAAAATGTCGTCTTTAGAGTAAAGGAAAAAAAGAGGGTTTTGTAAATACCATAACTTTTTGGGTCATAAAACGTCTCAATGTTTTCTTTTCAGGGATTTGGTTCAAAATGCAATCTAGGAAGGAAGACTGAAATTTGGGGAGAAAGCCAGCAGTCAGATGAAGGTCGACACAGACCCCCTGCAGGTGGCAGACGCCCATTATACAGAGCCTATGGAGACCAACATGGTCGAAGCTACTGATGGCTACGATTTTTCGATCAACATGTTAGAGGTTACTGATAATCTCGTCGATGGGGTCGTAATGGCAAAGGTCGTTATGGGTTTTGGACAAGAGAGTTGTGTGAGGTGGCTACTGATGGCCTCGACCAAATTATTGATGATCCAGGTTCAAAAGACATGAAGAATTCAAGTTTGGTAATGGTGACTAAGGAAACTGCTGATAGCTTCGCCAAGATGGACCAGGCCACCAAGGATTTAGAGTTGGACTTGGTAAAACTCGATCAGGGCGAAGGTGTCGACGTTAATATGGTGGAAATAACTCAGCATGAAACCATAGGAGATAGTGAATTAAATTGTCAGGAGGAACTCAATGAAGAAGCTTACCCAGGACACGAAGAGTCAATTGTCGATTTTCTTCACCTTTGTCAGGGGAAAGGGTCCAGTGTAATGTTATGTCCTAGGTGTAGCGCCATCTTCGACAGGAAAGCTGCCCAGAAATTGGAAGGAACACGCAGATTAAAACAAGGAAGGGAGAAATCCAGGTTCGACTCGGGTAATCTCCCAAGAAGGTTTGAGCCTCGCACCAGGGCCCCAAGAGCTAGACCCACTAGCTTCAAACCCGTTGCTGAAACTGCTAATGGCAAATGGATGAAACCTAACAAAGACAGACAGCAAGGACGACAGAAGTGGACAAACTTCGAGGTCAATCGAGGGTCTTCAGTTA